GTTCGAGCCCCGCGTCGGGCTCTGGGCTGATGGCCTAGAGCCTGCTTCCGATTCTGTGTCTCCCTCTCTCTCTGCCCCTCCCCCGTTCATGCTCTGTCTCTCTCTGTCTCAAAAATAAATAAACATTAAAAAAAATTTTTTTTTAATTTTTTTAATATTTAATCACTCATATAAAGTTCTCAGTTTTTCCTTTACAGTTGTAACCTATCTATCGATGCTTAACTTTTTTTTTAATTTTTTTTTCAACGTTTATTTATTTTTGGGACAGAGAGAGACAGAGCATGAACGGGGGAGGGGCAGAGAGAGAGGGAGACACAGAATCGGAAGCAAGCTCCAGGCTCTGAGCCATCAGCCCAGAGCCCGACGCGGGGCTGGAACTCACGGACCGCGAGATCGTGACCTGAGCTGAAGTCGGACACTTAACTGACTGAGCCACCCAGGTGCCCCCCCAAAAAATTTTTTTAATGTTTATTTATTTTTGGGATGGAGACAGAGCACGAGTGGGGGAGGGGCAGAGAGAGGGAGACACAGAATCCGAAGGAGGCTCCAGACTCCGAGCTGTCAGAACAGAGCCTGGCGCGGGGCTCGAACTCATGAACCGTGAGATCCTGACCTGAGCAGAAGTCCTTCACTCAACCAACTGAGTCATCCAGACGCCCCAATGCGTGATTAAATATTTCTGTTCCTCTAAAGCTTGCCCCCCATTACGTGAATACACTATAGTTAAATGTTCATTGCACTAATGGAGAGATTGTGGTCAATAGTGAAACACATCCCTAAAAAAAAAAACAAACAAAACCAAAACACTATTGAAAGCGTGATTCATCTTTAAAATACTAAAGATGGCTCAGGGTGCCTGGGTGGCTCAGTCGGTTAAGCGTCCGACTTCAGCTCAGGTCATGATCTCATGGTTCGTGAGTTCAAGCCCCACATCAGGTTCTGTGCTGACAGCTCAGAGCCTGAAGCCTGCTTCAGATTCTGTGTCTCCCTCTCCCTCACTCTGTCTCAAAAATAAATAAATGTTAAAAAATTAAAAAAAATACTAAAGATGGTTTAAAATAGTTAAAGTGTCTTAAAATATTTATGATGTATTTTTAGACTTTTTGATGGGCAAAGACCCAAAGATAAGCAAATAAAACCATTAAGGCTTTTGCAGGGTGGACAAAAGTGAAATAGCGGGATTTTATCCAGTGGATAAAATCGTGAAAAGCTTGAACTGAGCTAATGCTCGATCTGGCAGCCAGAATGCAATTTCAGGGCTCGTAGGATGTTTAAACATACTGAGTAGAACAGTATTTTATAGGCTGTAATATGATAAATACATAGAGGCAGGCTAAATAAGGGATGCTAAGTTGTGGGTAGGTGACATTAGTGAATTTCATGACAGATGACAGAATACTGGGTTGGGTGAACCACTGGTTCTGTAGCTGTGTGGCTTTCGTAAGAGTGAATGCAGTTCACTCACCTGCCTGTATTACCCCAGAGAGAGACACAGGTATTGAAATATTTTCTTGGAGATAAAAAAAACAACCACCACCACCAATTTTTGGTCATCTTTATAAACACAGGCTCTCATTTTAAATCTGAGACTCCCTTGAAGGTGAGAAGCATGGGATTAAGTAGGGACCCCTGTTCTAACATCATTTGCTCTATTGAATATATCCTTATTAGGTGCATATATCCTTAGGGGCACACCCTACCATTTTAGTGCGAATTTTCAGGAATCCTGTCGGGGAGAGTTGGTGCTTGAGGGAAGAAAGAAGCGTGCTGGAAAAAGACAGAAGGAGGACAGGTCAGTGGTGGGGGAAGCCCCAGTCTCTAGGAGACAGGAGACAGGAGACAAAGCAGCCAGCAGAGGGGGGTGTCCAGAGGGTGAGAAAGGGATGTTGGGCTCTAGGTGGGGACAGCCTCAAGGGACAAGGCTAGAACCTGCCTGTTTGCTGGGGCCTGTGTACAAC